CTCCTCCTCCTTCCTCCTCCTCCTTCTCCTCCTCCTCTCCTCCTCCCCTCCTTCTACTCCTTCCTCCTCCTACCTCCTCCTCCTCCTCTCTCTCCTCTCGGCTCCTTCCCATCCTCCCACCCTTCCTCCTTCCTTACTTATTGTAACTCTTCAGTCCTATGCTCTTCAGTCCTATGTCCTTTCTTTCTGCATCCTCTTATGTTCTTAATTTTTTTTATGTATATGATATCTGTGTTTTTTGTATCTTGAGTCCTTTGTTATATAGGCAGGTGCATTTCCTCAGACATGGGAGGTCATTCAGACTGACAGCTATGTACTAATGTCTAAAGCAATCTGATTCTTTATTCTTCTGTGGGTTAATTACCAGTGGTAAAGAGAACATGAGTATTCATAGAGCTATATTCTCTAATGTTATTTTCTTAAAATGTGTATATTTTTGGTAACAGTTTGGATATTATAAAGGTGTCTAGTAGCATTTACAGCATACCTAAGACTGTTTGTTTGTATTGTCCTCATTTTCATGTTTTGGGTGGATAAATGACAATTATCGACAATTTATTAAGATTCTTTGTTTTGTATATATCTCTTTTATATCTCTTATTCAGTATGTACTAACATTTGATGATATATCTTTTCTCAGGATGTTTTTTTGTAGCTTGGTCAATTATCTGATTAGTTAACAGGCATTTTATTATTTTATCATCAAAAATGTTAGATTGTTTTTTTAATGACTGATGAATTTAACAACAAAGATAAATGAATGAATATGCCAGTATTTCATATTGACAGTCTATTTAGCTCGAATATTAAGCAATTATTTATGCACAATTTAACACGGGGATGTGTTTTACAGGCTCTTCAGTCATCAACCACAGGGCAGTCTTTAGGAATTCCAGGCCTTAATGGCAAGAGACTCTTGGTTAAGATTGTTAAAGCAACAGGTGTTGGCTGTGAGAAAGGTAAGTCATTGAGAAGGATGGCGAATTATTAGATAAAGATGAGCATTTAGTTTGACTTGCAAAAAAGGAAAATTTTATGGACTTCTTTTGCTATTTATTTCCAACTTTGTATATTAGAACAAAGAGATGAGCAGAATGACGATATTCTAATGGATTTATTTGCACCCTCTATCAACTATTACATAAAATGTCATGGGAAGTTTTGCATTTGGTTTGTTATCCATTTAAGATCATGCAAAAGACTGTCCTTTATTCTTACAATACAATATTTTGATGGTGAAAATATGTTACCACCACTTAAAGATGTGTAAAATTTGTCATGGTGTGTAATTTTTAACTTCTGATTGAAACATCAAGGTTCAGTTTTGTTAAATCAGTGGTTTTGATCTTGTCTTGAAATGCATTACATATTTTGCTTTAGGGATAAGTTAAGCTGTGAGCTGAATGTACATTAAGTTTTCAAAGCTATTATCTATTTTTATTTTTGTATGTTTCTTAAAGCTGTATCAGAAGGATATACAGTAGTTGAAATGGATGAGCCACCCCAGAAGTTCACTACCTCGGTTATTAAGGACACAAATTCACCGTTTTGGGATGAACAGTTTCTATTGTAAGTACTCTGTCTCTATATAACTCATTTTATATCAGTTACAGTCTACATTATTTATACAAAAGTTTTATTTAAATCATGGTGTGCGATGATGTATGTGCTTCTTTTCAATCTCAGTAATGATAACAGTTATGATGTCCAGGCATTTGCTTTTTAGACAAAAATTTTGTTTATAAGAAGTTGATCATAATAATAGATATATGATAATCATTTTAAAGACGATTTGCTTATTTCTTGATTTTCCTTCTTTTGTGTTGTGCTGTTGAATTTATTTAGTCAGTTTATTTTCATTTGTTCTTTGCAGCGATCTCAGCGATGGCACTTTAGAACTCCTTTTTGAACTTTATGACAAGAAGGATGGAAATTTCTTAGGTCTAGGCATTGTAGGTATAGAAGAATTAGTTGCAACTCCATCTCAGAGGCAGATTATCCCACTGCAGTCACGACCTTATGAAAATGATGAAGTGTCAGGGTCCTTAACAGTAGAGGTAAGTGTGAAAGCAGTGTAATATGTATAGCAATATATGCAATTATGAACCAATCATTGATACCCTTTATGATGATTATTAGGAAAATGCATCACCTTTGAAATAAGAGAAAGAATACCCATAATACAGTCTTTCTGAAATGGAGTGATTTTTTCTCCTGCATTCATTTTATAGGTATTGCTACAATACTGCATAGTAATAACAGAATATTTTTATCACTGTAATTTTTAACCCACTGATGAAGAGAAAGCTATACTGAACCAATGTGTCGGGATGCACACAGTCAGCTACTCAGAGGAAAAATCAGAAGCACAGAAACCATAAAATCACTCTGCTTTTTATGCTCTTCGCCATTGTGTAAATGGTTCTGTAGGTAAGGAGGCTAATAACAGACTTGAACCTACTTTTGAGGGGCTGTTTCTCCTTAATGAATGCAACCAAGGCCAAACAAGTGCACTATTGTTTATCAAATATATCTTGACGAGGCATGGATGCTCATGATGTGACAATGTCATCTTGGTAAGAAGAATAGTCTACTATATGATTTCATTCTGTTATTACTATGCATTTACTCTCTCTCTCATTTATGCACTTTCTCTCATTTATGCTCTCTCTCTCTCTCATTTACTCTCTCTTGCTCTCATTTTCTCTCTCTCTCTTTCTCGTCTCTCTTCTCTCTTCTTCTCTCTTCTCTCTTCTTACTTCTCTCTCTCTCTTCTCACTTCTCTCTCTCTCTTTCTCACTTCTCTCTCTCTCTTTCTCACTTCTCTCTCTCTCTTTCTCACTTCTCTCTCTCTCTTTCTCACTTCTCTCTCTCTCTCTCTCTCTCTCTCTTCTCTCTCTCTCTCTCTCTCTCTCTCTCTCTCTCTCTTCTCTCTCTCTCTCTCTCTCTCTCTCTCTCTCTCTCTCTCTCTCTCTCTCTCTCTCTCTCTCTCTCTCTCTCTCTCTCTCTCTCTCTCTCTCTCTCTCTCTCTCTCTCTAACGAGACACCCCAGAAAAACAATTAAATAATGTGAAAAATAAGATACAATTAAATATTGATGCTTGTTTCACTGTATTAACATTGAAGGAGTACCTTTGGTGGTATCTTTGAAATTGTATATCCTTTGATGAATATACGGTTACTCAAATAGACATTCTATGGGAATGCCAAAAGAAAGCTGTTGATAATGTATTAAATAATGCTGATATTTTCTTTATTTGCCTCTCCCCCAGTTTCTGTTTCTGGACCGGGCAGACTTGCCAGATCTCACTCTTCGTTCAAGTGCAACGAGTCAGAGCCTGTCGTCTAAGGGAGATTTAGTCACAACTACTACTACCACTTATGTCAAGGCACCTGACTCACAAGGTATGGTTTAGCACTTTACCTGTCTGCTAATGTATTTTTTAAAATTTCTTTTGAATATGTGTCTGAATGTGAAGGAGTGTATGTAAATATGTATATCTATGTGTAGTAAGTTGTTTCTGACTATATTTACATATATACATATATGCATTGGCACATACACACAAAATATATATATACATAT